CACCGTCGTTGAACGGTGTGGCCATACATGCTATCCATTACCGACCACGCGATGCAAGCGAAGTGCCTCTCAAGAAGGGGCTCTCGCTCGAACGACAGGCCCACAAAGGCGCTGGTCTCCCCAGGAGCAGGAGGAGGAGGAGGAGGAGGAGGAGGAGCAGGAGGAGGAGGAGGAGGAGGAGCAGGAGGAGGAGGAGGAGGAGGAGGAAGAGGCCCGCGCCCGAACGACAGGCCCACAGGCCGAGCGCTTCTTCTGGTGAGGAAGAAAGACTGTAGGGACTTGTGGGGACGCAGCTCGCGACGGGAATGCTGATACATCTCGGGCTCACGCTGGTCATGCTCCTCCCGCGCGTCGTCCGTATGCCTGTCCACTCCTCATCTCCCTCCTCGTCTCCCTCCCTCCTCCCCCATCTTACCCCTTCGCATCCTTTCCTTCCCTTCTTCTCCCGCATCCTTCCCCTCCTCGCCCTCGGGAACACACTCAAAAGGAACACGATGGCAAACGCCTTCCTACGCTAGCCCGACGTTGCCGGATTGTCGCTGGACATGTCACGGTACATCCGTTTCCGAAAGGCAGGGGGCCGCTGACTGGCCGTATGTGTTTTCGATACTGGCATCTCCAACACTTGCTTGTGTCGAAGGTGATGCCTGATCGAAATGGTGCTTCCACTTCAACGTCGCACAAATGTACTGAAAATTCGTGTCAACCGCGTTTTAGTTGGCAAAACATGTGCGAACATGTGTGCGGAAACGGCTGTTGCCGTGGCTTCTCCCAGATCCTCCCTCCTCATCATCCTCCCCCCTCATCCCGAACTCACAACAACAACTTGTGACTTCCGTTGGCTTTCGCCGATCTTCTGCGGGCTTCCACTGGAGCAAGAGATGCCATGTGGATTGACTTTGGCAGACAAGGGCGGTTCCAGCGTTCGCCACATGCATGGAAGGCGGTACGCCTTGCCCTTGCGGTCGAGTAAGGCCGATTGGGTTCCCACCGTCCCAATGCTGCCAATTCCAGTGGTCGGCTCACCAGGTTTTGCCACGTCCCGCCTTCACAAGCTCAGAGCCTTTGGCGGGGCCGTGAAGTGTCACCACTCTTTTCCATCCAGGAGCTTAACATGTGACAGGCCCGTGGGGCATCATGTTTCAAGCGAAAGATGCCCGCAATGGAACACCACCTGTTTATTGACCTGCGAGAGCGGCGGTTGGGACTGGAGGGTACATCTGAGCACCTGTGATGTGCGGTGAATTGGCCCTGGTCCCTCGTCGTTCTCCTCCCGCCCCGTCCTGCTGCCTCATCACACTCCCAGTATTTCTAGATTCCTCCTCCACTTCCCCACATGTTTCTAATTTTCCTCCTTCCCTGCTGTCCCTCCCTTCTCCTCCACCTCCCCCGCTGCCGCCTCCTCCGCCTGTCCCATCCCTCCTCCCAATGTGTTTGTACCTTTTCCTCCTCCTCCTCCTCCTCCTCCTCGTCCTCCTCCTCCTCTTCCTACTCATCCTTCTCTTCCTCATCCTCCTCCTCCTCTTCCTCCTCCTCCTCTTCTTTTTTTTTCTCATCCTACCCCGCCTCCCCCCATCTCCCTCTCATCCCTTTCATCCTCCTCCCCCTGCTCCCTCGTGACCACTGGTTGCCCGAACAAAAACAACCAGCGTCGAAAGCCACTCCTTCTTCCACGTCCCCCTCCTGCCCCCGCTCCAGTCCCACCTTTCCCCGCCTCATACGTGCAGGCGTGGCGACCTGGAGGAGGAGGTGGAACAGGAACAGGAAGGGGAGGTGGCAGAAGACAGCGAAAGGATCTGACTGGCACTCGGCCATGGACCGCGCCGCTGCTCCAATTGGCGGGCTGGCCCGCAGCAGTCCGAATAGGGGACTGAGGGCGGGAGCAGACAGAGCTACGGGGGCAAGAAGAGGATGTGCAGGAGGTGATGCAAATAGGATGGCGATGACGACGGTGAGGATGGTCATGGCGAGGAAGGTGATGGTGCCGTTGATGGTGACGGTGATGTTGGCGATGACGATGGTGAATCATTCATGCGTTCATGAATTCAACCACCATGTGGGACCCCTGCACAACGCAACCGCGTGCAACGCAATGATTGGCGAATCCTGGGCCCCGGGTCAGTGGGCCACCACGCACCATCGGCCAACGTAGTTGTACCCAAACGCACTTCGCGACCATGTACAACATAGAGAAAGTCTACGACACTGGCTCCCTGAGCGCAGCCAGTCCTATATAGAGCTACGTGGCTCCAGGAGGTGAAGAGCGCTCGGGGCCCTCGAGGACTGACTCCAAGGCGCCGCTCACGTCATGCGAGGTGGACAATACACCAATCAAGCCAAGCATAATTGAATTTAGCGGCGATTTCCGCGAACATCCTGAGGCACTTCTTGACGAGGTTTTTTCTTGATCGCGCGCGGGATCTTGTTCTGCTGCAGCGTCTCACAATACACGTTCTGGGACAGTTCCTCAGAGTCAACCGCGCCCTCCACGAAGTTGAACCACTCGGGCATCAGCCCGTGGCAATCATCCATGGTGAAGACACGTCGCACGTACAAGTTGATGCTGCTGCGCTTCTTCTTGTCCGTGCTCGGCGCGGCACGAAGAGCAGCGCGCGGAACTCCAGTTGGCCCTGCACGCTGAACTGTTTTGCTGACAGGTGGCCTTCCCGGTCGTGGGACAGAGACTTGTAGAACGAAGAGTATTCCTCGTTGGTCCTCGGAATTGCGCACCCAGCGCTGCTTGTTCTTGTTCAGCTGCTCCCGCTTGCGGGATACCTCCTTGACCTTCTTGGTTTGCTTAATCTTCACTTCCCTCTCTCTCCTCATCGACCTCCTCGATATTCGGCTCTTCGTTTTTTCTCCTCGTCCTACTTCTCATCCTTCTCGTCCTCGGAGTCTGTCATTCCTTTCCCCTGGGACGTATCCACTTCCCCACGTACAGCTCAATGAAGAAACCAGTGAAGTCAGAAAGTTCATTGATCAGATCCTTCAGGCGGCGGTCCTCAAAAAAGTACGACTGGCCCTCCTTCACATAACACATGATCTTGGTGCCGGACTTCATCTCCCCGTGCACCATCTCCGTGTCCCTCTGCACCGCGAAGAAGTCGCACCCTCCAGGCTCCCAGGTGTACTGTTCGTAGTCAATGTTCTTGCTGATCACCCGCACCTTGCCCGACACGAGACACGCGGAGTAGAAGCCTACCCCGAATCGGCCGATCATGGAGACGTCGCTGCCATCGCCTGCGCGATGGCTCTGGGGCCAGACATGGTGATGGTGCCGAGGATGTTGTGACGCGATGAAGTGATCGGTCGTGTTTCTTCCTCGAGGCTAGGACATCATGTGAAAGTGCTGTCCCATCCGATTGTCCCACCTGCTCTCGCAAGGGAGTCCGATGCCAAGCTGCTTGTAGGGCCCGAGCGGCAAGGCAACGCCTTGATGATGATGATGATGATGATGATGAGGATGATAATGATGCTGTTAATGGTGATGATGATGCTGACGATGAGGATGATGACGATGATGATATGGGTGATGAGTAGCATGATGATAATGCTGGTGGCGATGGCGATGACGATGCTGATGATGATGATGATGACGACGATGATGGTGATGCTGCGTATGATGGTGATGCTGCTTATGATGGTGATCTGGATGAACCTTATGGTGGTGATGACGATGATGCTGGTGCTGATACTGATGCTGCTGATGCGGCTGATACGGATGATGATGCTGATGATGATGATGATGATGATGATGATGATGGTGATGATGACGATGATGATGATGATGATGATGATGATTTCTGATGATGATGAGGATGATTTCTGATGGTGTGCTGCTGCGCCTGTCTCGGCGCAGCCGGACAAAAAAGGCGGTCGGCCCGGCCAAGGGTCTGCAAACCTGGCTCCGCACTGGCTTCCTACGTAAGCTCGTTCGAGCAGAAGGAGCCCAGGAATGCCCCTTTTTCGCTGGGCCCCTGTGATGCGTTTTGACGAGGACGTCGAGCGGAATCCAGCCGTTGCGACGGGAGGCCTCCCCGAGGCCCGCAACAGGGACATAAACTTGGACCATCGAGCCCTGATCATCCATCCCTGCCTCTCTCCTCAACGACGAAGCGCAGATAAGCACGAGGAGGAGGAGGAGGAGGAGGAGGAGGAGGAGGAGGAGGAGGAGGAGGACGAGTGGAACTAGTGGAAGGGGAGCGGGAGGATGAAGAGGAGCAGGCGGAGGAGGAGCAGGAGAGGGCTCCACCTACTCCTACAGTCATTCCTCCTCTCCATCGCCATCAGCTTCATCTTCCTCCTCCCCCCCTCATCCTCATCACCATCATTGTCCTCTCTACCTCTTCTCCTCCTCCTCCACTTCCTCCTCCTCCTCCTGCTTTTCCTCCTCCTCCACCTCCTCCTCATCCTCGAATTCGTCCTCCCTCCTCCTCCTCGGCAAGCCCTCCTCCTCCTCCTCCTCCTCCTTCTCCTCCTCCTCCCTCCTCCTCCTCCTCCTCCTCCTCCTCCTCCTCCTCCTCCTCTCCTCCCCTCCTCCTTCTCCTCCTCCACCTCCTTCCTCCTCCTCCTCCTCCTCCTCCCTCCTCCTCCTCCTCGTCTTCCTCCTCCTCCTCCTTCTGCTGCTCCTCCTCCTCCTCCTCCTCATACTCGAATTCGTCGTCCTCCTCCTCCTCGGCAAGCCCTCCCCCTCCTCCTCTTTCTCCTCCTCCTCCTCCTCCTCCTCCTCCTCCTCCTCCCTCTCCTCCCTCCTCCTCCTCCTCCTCCTCCTCCTCCTCCTTCCTCCCTCCTCCTCCTCCTCCTCCTCCTCGCCTCCTCCTCCTCCTCCTCCTCCTCCTCCTCCTCCACCTCCTCCTCCTCCTCCTCCTCCTCCTCCTCCTCCTCCTCCTCCTCCTCCTCCTCCTCGTCTTCCTCCTCCTTCCTCCTTCTGCTGCTCCTCCTCCTCCTGCTCCTGCTGCTGCTCCTCCCCCTCTCTCCTTCCCCTGCCCTGCCCGCGGGACTTGAGCGCCGGCAGCAGCGTCGGCGTCTCCGATGCCAGCGCCGCCTCCCAGTGCGCGTCGCCCTGCGGGCCCTCGGTCCCGCCTGCGCGCGGCCAGGGCGGCGGGGGGGCCCAGGGGGGGGGGAAAGGGGGGGGATCGACGTCGTCACCCTCCTCCTCCAGCTCCTCCTGCTCCTCCTGCTGCTCCTGCTCCTCCTGCTCCTCCTCCTCCTCCTCCTCCTCCTCCTCCACCTCCTCCTCATCCTCCTCTTCGCCTCACGCCACGTTGCTTCCAGACCTCGTCATTGTCACCCATTGTCAGCCAGCTCATTTGTTCCTGGACGCAACACTGGGTATGCCCCTACCTGGAAACTGATACAGTTCCAGGGGGAACATGCCACGGGACGTGTCAGCACACGTATCAAGGGACGTGCCAGGGACGTCGCCAGGGGACGTGTCAGAGCACTTGCCAGGGACGTGGGCTAGTCCTCCCAGGGAGCGTGCCAGGGAGCGTGCCAGGGAGCGTGCTGGGGGAAGTGCCAGGGACACGCCCAGGGGACGCGTTAGGGGACGCGCCAAGGGATGTCTCAGGGGATGCGCCACCCGACGTGCTAGGGCACGCGCCAGGGGACGCGTGAGGGGGGCGCATCAGGGGACGGGTCATGGGACGTACCAGGAGGCGTGTCATGAGACCTGCCAAGGAATGCGCCAGGGGGCACGTCAGCATGCCTCTACCCGGGCTTCTGAATCAACGCGGAGGGGGGAGTCGGGGCGGGGGCGGGGGGGCGGGGCGCAAACGCAGATGTGCTCAGGGTTCTGTATATACGGTGGGGGGGCTCCACAAACGTCTGGGTCTCTATATGCGGCGGGGCCACCGCAGACCTGAATTCACGCAGAATGTTACGCGAGTCAGCCTCCGCACGCGCGAGCTCTATCCCGGGGACGTGCCAGGGAGCGCGACAAGGAACGTGCCAAGGGGGGACAAGTCCGGACATGTCCTAGGCGGCGTACCAGGGAACATACCTGGGACCTGCCGCGCGACCAGGAGGCGTACCGGCAGTCACTGGAATAGCTTGCGACTGAGAATGTGGACGAGGTGCACTCACCTACTTCTTTAAAAGTAGTTGGAGCCGTGGCTGAAGCGCGGCACGCTCGAGCTGCCCTCGCATGCGACAACCGTCGAATCCGCGCGAGGGCCGCGAGCACTCACGAACGGAGGCGGATGTAACGCTGTCTGCACTGGAAGTAAAAGGCTGGGGTGAATTCGTCTCGTCGGCACGAGCGGCTGGAGCACTTCCCCTTAAAAAATTAAAGGCTGGAGCCGAGGGAGAAAGGAGGAGGAGTAGGAAGAGGAGGAGACATGAGGAGAGAGGAGCGATGATGGAGAAGCGAGGATGGATGAGGGAGGTGGAGCAGAAGGCAGACAGAGAAGGAGAAAGGGGAGAGCTGAAACAAAAGGCATAACAAATGCGGATGAGGATCTGAAAACGGAATGAGGAAGCGGGAGGGAGAGAATGGAGGGGGGGAGCAGGAGCGAGGAGCAATGCGCGGGGAGGGAGACGGAGCAGGGAAAGCGGAGGGAGGGGTGTGGAGATAGGACGCATGAGCGGCGAGGGAGGAAGGGGAGGGAGGGAACGACGAGGAGGAGGAGGAGGAAAAGGAGGAGGAAGAGGAGGCTGAGCCAGCGGCCAGAGCAGCAAGACCACTGCTGGCTTGAATCTCTGATCCACGTGTGTAACGATTGCCTTCGCCAGCCTGCTGGCCCAAACCCAGGGAGACTCGAGCCCGGAGACGCGCGGGGGAAGCAGGGGCGAGAGGGGGAGGGGATGCGCAGAGGGCAGGAGGTCGGGCAGGCGGCGGAGGCGGAGCAGGGTAGGAGAAGGGAAGGGTCGGAGCGCCAAGGGGGGGGCAGGGGAGGATGGCAGGGAGGGGCAGCGCTGATTGCATCAGGGAGGCTCAAGGCGGACATCCTGCGAGGCTCTGGGTCTCGAATCGGTCCCGTGTATGTCCCCTTCCAGCTCCTCAGCGACAACGTGCAGACTGAGGCGGGCTGGGAGGGTCTCCGTGTCCTTTGATTGCGGAGTGTGTTATGCTTGTGTGGCGTACTTTGTGATGAACTGGGCGACTTGGGCAGGAGGTGTGATGGAAAAGAGACACGGGATGAGGAAGAAGACGAGGAGGATGAAAAGGGAGGGAGGACAGGAAGAGGGTACACGAGGAGGAGGACGGGGATGGAGGGATGGAAGTAGGCGGGAAGGCCGCAGGGTCGGGAGGACCCGGGCTGAGCAGCTTCATGTACTCGTGCACGCGGTCGATACCCGACCTCTCCTCCGCCGGCGCGGCGTCCTGTCAGAGGAGGGAGGAGGAGGAGGCGGAGGAGAAGGACGAGGGGAGGAGTAGCAGGAGAAGGAGGCAGGATGATGATGCTGATGATGATGCTGCTGCTGCTGCTGCTGATGATGATGATTATCATGCTGACGCTGATGCTGATGATGGTGATGGTGGTGGTACTGTTGCTGCTACTGCTGGTGATGTTAATGATGATGATGACAACGCCAAGTATGAAGATGATGCTGATGACGGTGATGATGATGTTGATGCTGATGCTGCTACTGCTGATGATCAGGAGAACGATTATGACCACGATGATACTGATAATGATAATGATGATGCTGATGCTGACGATGAGGGTGGTGATAATGATGACGATAGATAACAATGCTAGGTATGCCGATACTGATGCTGCTGCTGATGATGATGATGATGACGATGATGCTGATGCTGATGAAGGTGATGATGGTGAGGAGGAGGAGGAGGAGGAGGAGCAGGATGAGGGAGGAAGAGGGTGGAGGTGGAGGATGAGGAGGGAGAGGATGACGAAGGATGAGTCGGAGGGAGGATCTGAGGATGGGGGCGGAGAGGAGAGGGAGGAGGAGGAGGAGGAATGACAGAGGCCGAGGAGGGATGGAGGGTAGCTATCCTCGACTCACTCCTACTGATCCTGTCTCCTACCTCCGCCGACGGGGCGTCCAATGGGAGCTTGGAAGAGGTCATCTGATGCCCAGGAGGAGGTCGAGGAGAAGGGCACGGCAAATGGGGTTCTGCAAGCCAGGGGGCCCGAGCTAGCAATTTAGAGGGCAAACGCACACACACACACACACCCTCATAATGACCATCCCTGCGACCGAAGCCTCGAACAAACGAGCCAACAACAAAATTCAACAGGGCACGTACAAGAAACTGCCAGCGCTGTTGGGTAAACATGGGTCATGGATGGTCGGGGTGTCTTCTCCTCCCTTGACAACTGGGCGGAGAGAGCCAGTAAGAAACGCGACGACGTGCGGAAGCCAAGTAAGAGGAGGGCAAACAAAATCCTGGAGGAGCAACAGACGCGCGTCCCGAGCGTAGATACCCAAACTAACGGACCAGAGGATCAATCCATTGCTCAACAAGGCCGACCACCCAACCCGCGAACAACACGTGTGCCACCACATGGACCCTGCACGCGATTCCCGCTTAGCTCACGCCATTGAAAAGGGAGGAGGGGCTGGCTCTGCAGAAGCAAGGCCTCCATCGAGATGACCACATAGTGAAGGACAGCAGACACTCCTCCTCCTCCTCCTCCTTCTCCTCCCCCTCCTCGCCACCCACCCCCCCCTCCCCCCCCTTTCTCATTCCTCCTCCTCCTCCTCCTCCTCCTCCTCCTCCTCCTCCTCCTGGCGAGGATGAGCAGCGGAGGGAGAGAACATTGAGCAGAGCAAGGAGGAGGGAGAGTGCCCCTGTGGTCCCAAGGCGCAGCACAGGACTTCTAATGACCACGCGCCGCTGTGCACATGGAATCGCGGAGTGTCTTCGGAAGCGCGTCATACCCTTCATTTCCTTGCATGCCGTGGCAGGGAACACCCGAAGTCACCACGATGTGGATGCAACTGAGTACGAGAGGCTCGCCAAAACTAGTTCGCAACTCTCTTCCCCTAATACGCACTTCGGTACAACAAACTTCACGAACTGGCGTATACAGTGTTAGACAGAAGCCGCACATTCGCCACGCACGGTGGCTCCAGGATGACCGGTGCAGGCTTCACAAACGCACACAGACACGCACTATCGCACGTTTTCCAAGGAAGGCGCGCGGGAGGCGGGCAGCGCTCACGCGCACGGGCGCACGCTTCTTGGCGTCGCGGCCACGCGCGCGGCCATGAGGCGTAGGGCACGTCAAGCGGAGAGCGCGCGGCCCGAGCCAGCTCACGCAGCGTGAAGAAGCTCCACGCACGCACGCAACAAACACAACCCGACCCCCCACTGCAAATGCACACACACACACATGCACACACACACACACACACACACACACACACACACGCGCACAAGCACATACAGACATGCATGCACAGATGGGGGAGAACCAACTTCAAGATCGGGCCCGCGCAGAAAGCTCTCAGCTGCGGGTCCTCCCCGATGACGCCCATCGGGCTCCCCGTCACCGTTGGTCCCTGCCCGCCAGACCCGCCCTTCGCCAGGGACGCGAGCGGGCCCTGCGCCCTGCCGCCGCCGCCGCCGCCGAAGGCCCACGGAGCCACGCCGGTCACGGTGCTCGGGGGCTGCTTCGGCGGGACCGCGGTGCCCTGGGGAGGGGGGCGCGGGGAGGAGGAAGGCGGGAGGAGGGAACAGGAGCGGAGAGGGGACAAGGAACAGAAAGATGGGAGGAGGATGAGGAGGAGGAGGAGGAGGAGGAGGGGGGACGACGATGAGGCGAGAGAAGGGCGAGGGAGGGGGTGCGAGGAGGAACGAGGGAGAAGGCATGAGGATGGAGAGTGCAGGCGACAGGAGGGAGGACGACGGACGAGGGATGACGAGGTGGCCGAGGAGCATGAGAAGCAGGCTAAGGAGCTGGAAGATAGAATTGAAGGGCGAGGGGAAAGGGGAGGGCCTCGATGGTCTGGCCTCGACGCATCCCCCGCGCGCAGCCGGCGCGCGACACACCGCTCCATCTTCGTCCTTATTGTCTCTGTCCGTCCTCCACGTCCTGGGGCGCTCGCACCATAGAGTGCACCATATAGTCTGCACCACATGGACTGCACCACACACACACATATATATATACATATATATACTGCACAGCCTAACTTGTATACCGTCGATTCCACCAAACCACTACACCGTAGCTTGCCCCACGTAGGTGGTACAACACATACCGCACCACATGAAACCGCACGACGTAGACTGCACAACATGTTTTGTACAACGTAGTTTGCGCAACCAATTCTGCACAACATATACGACCCCGTCTCAACAGGACTTGAAATTCCTTCCCCCGCGAAGCTGGTGTTATTGGCCCACCCTGCGGATGTGCAGTTTACAACATGTTTCTTGTCATCGCTCATTTTCGAATATGGATCCATGCCATCCCAGCTGGGCCAAGCTCCCGCCCCGCCGCACCCCCATCATCCGCATCAAATGAAACGATTCGCGCGCAATGGTTTATCAAGCATCATGAATTTGAAACAGCCATTACGGGGCGACGTGCAAACGCGCGCGCCGTCGCGCGCGCGTGCCGAAGTCCGTCAAACACGATGGGCTTCGATCGGAATTCAGAACCGAATGCCCCGAACACACGCACACACACATACACACACAACATACGGCTTGCGCGCGAAGGCGTTCCTACGTTTTCTTGGAAAAACGAATGCGACATGTCAACATGTACTGATGGGGGGCCACCGTTGGCAAATAATACCGTGCGGGCAACTCGCGCCCACCGGCCGCGCGCGCATGTCGAGATTACCCCTAACCTTCATCGCAGTCACGTGGCATCGGCGTGATCCGCATCGGCGATGTCATTCGCCTAGCCGTCGTCACAATCATCGTCGTCACCCGCATCGTTACGATCATCGTGTCTGCCATTGTCGATGTTGCCATGATGCCGCGCCTGCCCTGATTACCAACTCGCATTGAAGTCCGCGTCAGCGCGGGCTGCGAGATGCGCTGGGGAATCCCAAGCGGCCAGCGCCACCGCGACCACGTCGGCCACGCCAAACTAGTTGGCCGTTCTGCGCGCGAGCTTGCGCGCGCTAGCGCGGCCGCGGCGATGCGCCAGCCAGCGCCAAGCAGGCATCGAAATCGTCGCCGCATGGGTCTGCAAACCACAAACCAAAATTTGCACGAGCACAGGCAGCATCAAATTTGGCACGGCAAATAGCACCACAAATATTGCAGCACACACATTGTTCCACCTAGGTTGACCCGCGATTTTTCTCATGAAAAGGAGAACGGGCATACCAACCACGCACTCGGGATCATCGGATCTCCGTGGGAATGTGCGATTTACAAACGTTTCTCTCCCATCGTTCCTTTAACTATGACTCCAGACCTTGCCAGAAAGGCCTGCCCCTTCCCCCAATCATCCTCGTCGAAAAACTATGCGCGCACCCGGTTGTCAAAACAAGATACTTTCAATAATCCTTTGCAGCCGATTTGATGGATTGCGCACACGATCGTCGTCATGCGCCAATGCCGAAACCCTTGTTTAAACGCCATGGACGTCGTTGGGGATCCAAAACCGAACGCCCCCCAAAAGTTAAAATCAATGCATGGTGGTGCAACGCGGCGGTTCCAACAAAGGCTTGCGCGCGCTCTTGCGGATCCTTAAGACACCCGTGGTTTCAACATGTACATCAAATGCGACCAAGCGGGCCTCGCGCGCGCGCCGGAATCATTCGAACAAGCACGTCGAAATCGTTCCAAAACGTTCATCACCGACACGTGGGCACCATCATCGTCATCGGCGTGATCAGCATCGGCGCCGTCATTGGCGTTACCGTCGCATGGTCACCGTCGTCACCAACATCCGCACTACTACCATCATCGTATTTGCCTTTGTCGATTGATGCCGCGCCTGCCCAAAACATCGACTCGCATTGACGTGCCCGCGCGTCAGCACGGTCTGCGAGACGCGCTGAGAAGTCTTCAGCGGTCAGCGCCACCGCGGCGGCGTCGGTCGCGCCAGACCAGCTGGCCGCTGTGCTCGCGAGCCTGCGGGTGCTCGCCCAGCCGTAGCGATCTGCCTGCCAACGCCAAACACTCATCGCAATCGCCGCCGCATGGATTTTGCAAACCAACGTGCGGGTGGGTGGGTGGAACGGTTGCGCGAGCAACGAATCCCACCAGCCCTCTGGGCGTAGGTGGTCTAGAACAGATCCTCTTCCACCCCTCCCTCTTCCCCCTTGGGGAGGGGTTTACCCCTCCCCCTACCCCCTCCCCTGGACCTGGACGGGGGGGGCCGCGGGTAGTTAGAGCGTCCAAGATGGCCCAAGACGGCTCCAAGAGCGCCTCAGAGAACCCAAGATGAGCTCCAAGATGGCTCAAGATAGCGCAAGATCGCTCACGATGGCTCCTAAGATGGTTCCAAGAAGCCCAAAGACGGCCCCAAGATAACTCCAAGTGGCCAAACAGCTCCCCAAGGAGGCCCCGAAGAGGCCAAAATCGTCCCAAAACCTAAGGAAAATCAATGATTTTTGCTTTCTCGCCTTTTCGCTTCCGATGGCTATCCGAGGCCTGGAGATGGCTCCAAGATGGCCCAAGAGGGCCCCAAGAGAGCCCCAAAAGAGCCCCAAGACGGCCCCAAGAGCGCCCAAGAGCACTCCAAGAGCGTTCCAAGAGGGGTCCAAGAGGCGATTTTAGGGGCTTCCGAGGGGGGGCGCTAATTAAACCCCCCCTCTTGTTTGATCGACTCCCTCCAAGATGGCCCCAAAAGCGCCCCGAAGGCTCCCCAGAGCGCCTCAAGAGGGTCCCAAGAGGCGCCCAAGATGCCCCAAGGCGCCCAAAAAGCCCTCCAAGAGGCCCTCAAAAGACCCCCAAGAAGCTCCTTCCCCTCCTCCTCCTCCTCCTCCGATTCTTCCTCCTTCTCCGTCCTCCTCCTCCTCCTCCTCCTCCTCCTCTTCCCCCTCCTCCTCCTCCTCCTCCTCCTCCTCCGACGACGACGACGACGACGACGACTCCTCTTCCATCCTCCCCCTCTCGGGGTCTGTGACAGCTTCCCCCGCCCTTTGTTATTCTGCATGCTCCCCGACTTCCCTGATCACCTTAACTCCCCTGAGCATCGTTTCTGGATGGGCTGGTGGGGATACGCGAAGCGTCAACAATTCAAAAGTTCGCGCTCGGCGGGGCGGGTTCTCTGTTTAAAAAATAAGCATCTACAATATCCCCCGTGGTATCCGCCTATTTGGTTTCCATTCCAGATATGAAATCATTCCATCCAGCCAGGCCGGGTCCGACACCACCCCCCGCCATCCTCTGCAACAACAAATACTATGCGCGCGTGGTCGTTGATCAAAAATCGTCGATTTCCAAGAACCCCATGCAAAACATGAGACGAAATGCGCACGCGCGCGTCGTCGCGCGCGCAAGCCAAAATCCTTCAAAACCCGCTGGTTTCGAACAGATTTTGAAATCGAGCGTCCCGGCAACATAAGAACAACACAAGGCTCTACAAAGTAATTGTTCGAAGGAGGTTCTGCGCGCGCACTATCGCGAATTCTTGAGACAACCGTATGCTTTCAAGCTCCTTCTATCGAGTGCGACCAAGCGGGCCTCTCGCGCGCGCATGCCGAATTTTGCCGAGCGCCCTTGCGAGCGTGCGGGGGGGCGGGGGTGGGAGCACAATCCCTGTCAAACAACACCATGGGGGCCATTCGCGCGCGTCGGCACCGCGCGCATGTCGAAATCCTTCCAAAAACTCCATCACCGACGCGGGGGCACCATCATCGTCACCGGCATTATCAGCATCGGCGATGTCATTCGCCTTGCCGTGGTCATCGCCAAAATCGCCACCAGCATTGCTACGATCATCATCGAGTTTATTGTTGTCGACGTCGCCGTGATACCGCGCCCGCCTAAGTCAGCGACTCGCACTGAAGCGCCCGCGCGTCAGCGCGGCCGGAGACGCGCTGGGAAGTCCCCAGCCGTCAGCGCCGACGCGGTCGCGCCGAAGTAGCTGGCCGTTGTGCCCGCGAGCATGCGCGAGCATGCGCGGCCGCAAACATGCACCAGCCGGCTCCACGCAGTCATCGCAATCGCCGCTGCCTGGGTTTTGCAAACCAACTTGCGGGTGGGTGAGTGAGATGACAGCGAGAGCACAGGAATTTTCAACTCCGAGATTTTGCGCCACAGTTATTGCACCACACCTGTTGACATTTTGCACCAGACTGTTTTTGGCCCGCGCGTGTGAACATGCTTCTAATCTGCAGAAAATAGATACCAGATAAACAACAAAAAACAATGAATGTGGTTCATACGATGCGCGGGCAACCGAATTTTCCCCTCAGCAACGTTGTCCCTCCTCCTCCCTTTCTGCGCCGCCCGCGACCATGGAGGACCCATAGGCTCAACGGGGGCGTTCCGCAGCCGAACGGCACGGCAAACCGGGACAGCCTCCCGTTGGAGCCGGATTGAAGGGTCCAGCTCGGGCGGATGTTTGAAACATCGCGAGCGTTAAGTCGGGCCTGTCCCCCTACAGGGAGACTGTTGACGAACATTTAAAAATACCCCAAACAAAATCCAAAAGGGTGAAAAAGTCCCCATATCCTTATTTTGGACTATTTGTTGATCATGTTTTGGGTTTTTTTCT